AAAGTGAGTCGTTTTGTTGCTCTTTCATTCCTTTTTCTTCTGTTGCTACAACAGAAGCATAAGCAGCAGCAGAAGCAGCAACACCACCTGCAGAATCCACAGCAGCGTCAGCAGCACCGATCGAAACACCAACAGCAGCAGCTTCCTTCCTCGCATGTGTATTTGGCCTCCATATAACTCGTCTCAACACAAAACCCAGTCCACCTATCAGATAGAGACTACTAGAAAGGGGTGAAACGAGCCTGGCTGTCTTCAGTCATTGGTGGATGGGCGATGAGTTGTGTGTAGGGTTTGTATGAACGTGTTGCTTTCTGCTCATGGCTTGTATTTGCATCTGTCTGCTTCGAGCAGAAAGACAACCCGTGTGCTTCCTCGCCTGGCCGAATGCTTGTGTGTCTGTGTGTGGCGTTTCTGCTGCTTCAGGGGTTTCAAATATGGACGGACTTGGCGCCCGCGGTGCAGCAGCAGCCGAACCTTATGTTCGCTAAGTGCGTGGTGCAGGCGGGGTCAACTCCCGAGATGCTGCAGGTGCAGCAGGTAGAGCCCGCGGGTAACAATGAGACTTTCTCTGTGCCGCATGCACACGCATGGAATACGAACTCTTCTATTGATCCTATGACATATGGCGATATCGGCATGCTGCCACACACCAACATTCCCTGTGTATTAGATTTCTTACGTTATCGTTACATGAGAAACCAGATATATACTTGTGCAGATCCTCTTGTTGTTGCTATTAACCCCTTTAAAGACCTAGGAAACACCACAAAGGAATGGATCTGTAAATACAGAGATACTGATGACTACACTAAACTACCACCCCACGTCTTCTACACTGCACGTGTTGCTCTCGATAACCTCCATGGCGTCAACAAATCACAAACCATCATCGTATCCGGTAAAGCCGCCCCCTCACCTCATGCATGCAGCAGTTCAACACAAACAAACTGCCTGGGGTTTCTGTTGCTTCTGTCGCATTCTGCTGCATGCATCTTCTCTTCTTTCTGGCGGGTTTATGGTTTAGGGTTTAGGGTTTAGGGTTTCGGGGTCTGTTTTCTATTTCTACTCCAACCGGCTACAAAAGCAGCAGCACCAGAAACTTCTTGACCGTGTGTATCCTTCATGCGTTCGATGTTGTTTTATTTCTCCTGCAACTGCTGGTGTTTCTTCTCTGTTTCTGCGCGAGTTATGTTGCTGCATTTGTACTGACTGCGCTGCTGCTGCTGCTGCTGCTGTTGCTGTTGCTGTTGGTGGGTGCAGGCGAGTCGGGTGCTGGTAAGACGGAAGCTACGAAGCAGATAATGAGATATTTCGCTGCTGCGAAGGGGGGGGCGATGGACATGCGTATTCAGAACGCTATCATGGCAGCTAACCCAGTGTTGGAGGCGTTCGGTAACGCCAAGACTATCCGTAACAACAACTCTTCTCGTTTCGGGCGTTTCATGCAGCTTGATGTAGCAAAGGAGGGGGGTATTCGCTATGGTAGTGTTGTTGCGTTTCTGCTTGAGAAATCGCGTGTTCTCACCCAAGACGAACAGGAACGTTCGTACCATATCTTCTACCAGCTGTGCAAGGGGGCTGACGCAAGCATGCGTGAACGTTTCCACCTGCTTTCTCTGGACCAGTACACATACATCAACCCCAAGTGCTTCGATGTGCCCGGCATTGACGACTTAGCCGACTACAAGGAAGTCTGCGATGCGTTCAAGTCCATGGCCCTCACAGACGAGCAGGTTGACTCAGTGTGGAGCGTTGTAGCCGGAGTGTTGTTGCTTGGAAACGTGCAGATCACCGCGACAAAGCAGGGCGGCATGGATGATGCTGCTGCTATTGAAGGCGCGAATCTCCAGCTTTTCAAGGAAGCTTGCGGTCTGCTTTTCATCGACCCAGATGAAGTAATGAGGGAACTGACAACAAAAGTCACATACGCCGGTGGGCAGAGAGTGGAAAGCCGCTGGAGACAAGAAGACGGTGACATGCTCAAATCTTCCTTAGCGAAAGCAATGTACGACAAACTTTTCCTGTGGATCATCAGTGAACTGAACAAGTCCATCAAGCCACCAGAGGGATTCAAGAACTTCCTTGGTATGCTTGATATCTTCGGGTTCGAGGTATTCAAGAACAACTCTCTTGAGCAGTTCTTCATCAACGTTACAAACGAAATGTTGCAGAAAAACTTCGTCGATATCGTCTTCACGAGGGAGGCGAAGCTGTACAAAGAAGAAAACGTTTCAACAGCTGAACTGGTATACACATCGAACGCAGACGTCATCAATC